CTACACAGACCTGGCCAAAGTGTTTGACCTGACAGACATGAGAAGACTTCAAGTCTCTGCACAGAGTCAAACACAAGCCTGGATTGGACTGTACAGCGAGCCAGGAGACAACAGGAGGTGGCACTGGTCTCTGCCGGGGGAGGAATACACTGAAAATAAGACCTGTTGGGGAGATGAAGAGCCAAATGATCATAACAAACCTGAGAACTGTGTGAGGACAGTAGACAAGTGGGCAGATTTTCCATGTAGTGACAAATTTCAGTTCATCTGCTATGACGGTGAGAATATATGAACAGTAATATGATAATACAATATTTAATAATGTTATAATCTAGTTTATAATCTGTGTTATATCACATGTTCCTGAAAAAGAGATTAAAGAATGAGACAAATTAGTTGATAAAAATGTTATTTTGTTTTTCTATTGATTTGACAGAAACAATGAAAGACAATAAAATGTTTCATTTGATTGCGGAGGAGAAGTCTTGGACTCAGGCTCAGAACTACTGCAGACAGCATCACACTGACCTGGCCAGTGGACTCGATCAGATATACAGTGAAGAGTTTAAGACGCTGCAGAACTCTAAAGAACTGTGGATCAGCCTGTTCAGAGACAGCTGGAGGTGGTCAGATGGGAGTAACTTCTCTTTCAGATACTGGGACATGGACTCATTTAATGATGGACTAAACAACAGGACATGTGCTACGACTCTGTTAGAGAGATCAGGAAGATGGAGCTCTGCTGGATGTGACCAAAGAAAGCCTTTCTTCTGCTATGATGGTGAGTTTACACAGATTTATCTCAGCTGTTTGTCCAATAGATGAACAGCTGGAGTCACCGAGAGGATTTAGATCAGTTATCTTTTTGTATCTTGGTTGACTCCCTCTGAGATGTACAATTTAACCACACTGTTTATTAAAACTGCGGACAACCTTTAATTATTAACTGCAAAACAAATTTACTGCATGTGTACAGTGAGTTTTACTCAATGCAGACCTACTGATATTTTATATATTTAAACCTCTTCCTTCCTAACAAAGCTCTCTGTCTTTTCTCATCTTTACTATATAAATGTTCATTAGAGCTGTTCACCTACACAGTCACAGGTGTAACTGTCCTGTTGTTTTGGCCTGTTTGTCTTGTTTCTGTAAGTGTGGACGGTTCATGTCTGTCATTGTTCATAAAGCACAGCAAAGACTCACAGCTCTTTGGGTTTTGTGGTGACAGATAACGTGATCCTGATCCAAGAAAGCAAAACCTGGGAGGAAGCCCTTTATTACTGCAGAGAGAAACACCATGATCTGGTTTCCATCACCAACCGCCAGAAGCAGGTGTGGCTCCAGGAAAAAGCAAGAAACGCCTCCACTCCTTTTGTCTGGCTGGGGCTGCGCTACACCTGCACTCTGGGCTTCTGGTTCTGGGTCACTGATGAGGTCATTGGATATAACAACTGGGACTCTAACAGCAAAGTTGACGTCTGTGACATGTCTGGAGCCATAAATAGAGCAGGAGAGCAGAAGTGGGTCAGTAAGTCTGATGATAATAAGTTTAATTTCTTCTGTTCTAAACATTAAAAGCACTGTAAACAGCACCAACAGCTTCTTATCTCCTTTAGGTTTTATTTAGCGCACTTTTTATTTTCCTACATCAACAAAAACGTAATTTTGTTATTGAAAAAGAATCTATTCACTATACAATGTGTAGGTTTTATCATATTGATGTTGTGGTTAAAATCTGGTGATGGTTTTATATAAAGTAATAATACATAAAGGTTATGAAGTGTTGTTAATTGAATTCACTGTTGATGAATAAACTGTTAAACCACAGTTGTTGTTTTTAATAATCAAATTACAGCATGAAACAAAGTGTTAAAGTACTTTGATCAGGAAGAACTTTATAAAACTACATATCCCCCTATCCCTGTTTTAATCTTCTTATATATCTGTTAGTTTAAATTCACCAAAAATTTCGAATTTCGATGGGATGGAATGGATTTTGTTCATATTTGTGACTCGTGATTTGTTTAATGTTTATACTTATGATATGTATTCTTTGGGGTGTTTAGTTTTGAACCTTGTTCTCAGGTGTCTTACGGTTAATTCCACTCTTAGTGTTCAGCCCTCTCGTGTCCTCTGTATGTAATCCATTCATGTTTGGCTTCCTTTGTCTTGTCTGCTGTCATTTTGTCCACCTGTGTCTCATTCTCCTCAGGTGTCTCCACTTTCCCTGATCACACTTCTCTGTATATGTATGTATATAAGTATGTATATGTATAGTCAACAACTAAACAGCTAGATTTTTATACCTCAGTCAGCTTCTGCATATCTGCACATGGCTCTTCATAAGTGAGACAGCCATAGTCTCTCTCTCTCCCTCTCTCTCACACACACACTGTTATAGTCAAATTGTTGAATGTTGTCATTGTGTTTCCTAAATTTGTAAAGTCTTGGTTCAAACTGTGTGATCAAACACATTACCCCTCCCCAGCCTGTCGAGGTTTTGGGGGAAAGCTGTAGTGTTTTATCACAGACGCATCCCATGTGAAGGTTCTGTTTCTTGTGTTGTAAGCTTCCTGCTTTTATGATCCTTTTGGTGAGCAGGAGGTCACACAAACGCACCCCCGTGACACACACACACACACATACACACACACACACCATTTGAAACATGATATAAGTTTTAACTGAAGAAACAGCATCAGTGAAGAAAAACCACAGACCAGGTAAACACATCAAATAAATACAGAAGAGAACAAGGCAAATTATATTAAATAATAGAAAATAATTCAAATAGGGAGTGTAAGCAGAGCAGTTGTTGAGAAGAGAGTTTTGGTTAATGATACAATGGCAGATCCCAAATTAGCCAACAAAACAGCACAATGTCAGGAACATCACCTCTCATCGTCTGCAGTATGACTTGCCGCTGCAGTTGAAGGGCGCACACAAAGTCTTGTGTTGTTGGTCAGTTCACTCTGAAGTCTGACTATTAACCAATGAGAAACCACATAGTCACAGGTGCCACGCCCCTTTAAGCACTGAGAAAAGCTCCTTTTAAAGTTTTAACCATGACGTTTAACTAATGAAATTAACAAGTGACATGTACTGAACATCCTGATGCAGTCATGTGACAAGTAAGTGACTCTGGGAACTCATGACATCATTTCCAAAATGGCAGCACACCTGGGCAGTTCATGTTCCCACTTAGCCAATTTTAGAAATCTAGTTTTCTCTTAACAAAAGTACGTTTGAACCCACTCAGCATTCTTATCCTTTAATGTGTGGCTGATTTATCCTCATGACTGGAAACTAGGTTTGCAAAACCTGCTGAAACAAAGAAGCTTCCACATAGATGTTGGCACTAGTCTGATGGCTTTGGCTAAACAGCATTAAGAACTGACAACAATAATATGAACATGGTATTGATGATACATAATGTTATTTTCTGTTCTCTTTTTGCACTTTTCTTGTCATATATGTATGTCTTTACTAGTTTATTACAGAAATCTGATCTGTTTCCTGCAGCTGCAGTAGGTTGTTGAAAATACCTCTAATATAAAGCAGGATTTTTTTTTAGCATGCACATTTGTGTGATGTAAAACAAAGCTGTCAAATAATTTGTTGTTGAACCAATCCCGCAAATGTATGATGATCATGTGTTATGGAAATCCAAATAAGAACGAAATTCTGTGTTAATAAGCAAAGGCCTGTCTGGCAGATTCATTTTCAAATAAGGAATAAACAAAGTAGAAACGCTACTGGGTTCTTATGTGTTAATAGTCATGATTGCCAAACGTTGAAGCTTGTACTGAAAAACAGTTCATTACTCGAAGCTTTTCAGCACAGTCCTCTCTGGTGACATCTGGTGGACAAAAATATGAAGAACAGCTTGAAGCTACAAAATAAAATGACCTTCTTCATTATGAATGTCCACTATACAGAGTGGAGTTCACAACTCTGTCTGATATCGTGCCACCATTGTGTTGCTTTGAACATTAATTTTCTGGGGTGAAAAAATTGTTATGTTTATTTTTCTAACAAATAAATGTCATCAATAACCTTTCCTTATTTCAACATGTGCCATAGTGTGGTCTTTTTTTGCTTGTGCCACCGTGATGCTGGTAAATACAATAGATGAAAAATACATATAATATAAATATAATAATGTACAACACATTATGGAGTACGCTTCTACTCTGTGATCCTGCCTCCATGTACTTATGGAATTAACCACTGGACAGCTGGACAGGTATGTTTATAAATAGTATTATATTAGGTCAAATTTTTTATATGTATTTTAGACCCGGAGGTAGAATTGATTGTGAACTTGTAAAGTAAAAATGGCCAAGTCTGCATGTTTTCATGGAGAAAATTTCTCCTGCCTTAGAGAAAATCCTCTTACATGGAACAGAAGAGGCTGGAATGCACAGAAACTGGTAGAGATGCAGGTATACAGTCTTCCTGGGTCCCACAGACTATCAGCTAAAAAGAATAAACAAATTAAATTGTTGCACATTTTGTAGAATAAAAATTTAAGATAATTTAAAAAATAATATATTTTTTATGTTAAATTTAAAGAGTCAAATATTTTTATTATGAAAAGCAGATTTTTGTTAAGCTATTTGAAGTTTTTTACGTTATCAGATCCAATAAACAAACAAAAAGACAAAGCAAACAACAAGAGCAGAAAGCTGTCAAACCCAACCGACTGACCAAAATCAACTCAAAATACTCCCACACATGGCATAACTGCAGAGCTGTAGCACAAGAAAAACAAGGTATGCACATGGACTTGAATCAGGACACAGGAAAACTACCAGCCGCTCACATGGCCTATGATAGTAACTGTAAACTCAATGAGTGTTTTAAATCAGACCTATTTCACATTGGCTATTTTGATATCAAATACCAGTCACATGTCTGCATTTAAATACAGCAGAAGTTCAAGTATTAGAATTAGAAATAGGTCTTTTTTTCCTGTTGGCCGGCTGCTGTGACACATATTTGTGCTCTGATGCAGTCATTAAAATAAGAAAAACCAACCATTAAAGAGAGCTCGCTCTTGGTGCATGGTCCTCTCTGCTGGAACAGAAGCTGATCATATCTAATGTTTGTTTCCTCAAAGCAGCACAGAGATGCTATTGGTTCAATTGATTTTGCATCAACAAACAAATTATTGAGGTGCTGAAAGCAGAAACAGTCAAATCTGCAGGACTCGCAGACTTCACATGTTGGTCTTCCATTCATTACATATTTGGACACGTCAAGTTTTTTTTTGTGTTCCATGAGCTATGTTTACATTAAATGGAAACTATTTGCAGTGTAAACAGGAACACTTTGACTGACTCTGACACTGTGATAGGTTTGTAGCATAAACCTATTCGCTGGAACGTTCAAGACAATTCTACTACACAGCAAAGCAAGATA